AGAGAGAGAGAGAGAGAGATTAAGTCATACAATAAACAGTAACAAAATAAATGTTAAATGTGTTTAGCATTAAAAATAAGATAATTAACAATAATATTCAATAGAAGCTAATTTAACTAAAATTAAATAAAATTTACTAAATAAATTGAAACTAGCTAGGACAATTTAGATAGCCATACGATTGTGCCATAATATAACTCACTTAAAACAACAACTATTGATAAGACAATTCCGACGGCAAACGGTCCCAAAGCTATCCTAACTTTGATAGCAAACTCATTGTCCGATTCGGTGCTAACAATGGGCTCGTCATCGGTGTCGTAGATATGAGAGGCAACTTCAACGATATCATCGGCCCATTTCTGGTATAACCCCGTCTCCAATGCGCTGTAAACTCTGTATTGATTTTAATAATTATTACACTAAGAAATTACAGTCAAATATCTATGCTATAAACAGAATGGTTCATGGGATTTGGTTAATAAAATAGATTAGTTGACAATACAGAGATCATTTTGACATTAGGTCTATGTGGTGTGTATTTGGGATTTGGTTGATAACATAGATAGTTGACATGATAGGCATTTGACTGTAATAGCAAATAACTATGAAATAACTGACATTTCATCATATTTTTGAGCCACAAATGGATCCAAATATTTACTGTAAACAAAGCCAACAAAATAGTCGAGATATTTCTCTTGCGATATATGAGTGACTTTAGTTGCTATCAAAGAGATTGCGTTTTCAATCATTTTAACGTGTGATTGAGAGGCAATGAAAACATAGGTTTTGTTGAACACAATTTGTACGCGAAGTGTATTTTTATGTGAAAACAGATTTGCAGTGTTTTGTAGAATTTCTTCTGCAGTATTGTTTAGACCCCTTATAAGTAAATCTATCTCTGATTTTGTTCCCCATTTCTAGTAATATTGCAATTAAATACAAATTTTTAAATATACAAAAATGTAATAAATGTTACTTTTTAATTGATAAATTACCAGAATTTGCGCAATTCTTTCGTCAGTGAAGTAAACAATTGGCAATAAATTGTAATTCGTATTCAAATCGTCTAATGAATCGATTACTGAATAAAATGTTTTAATAGT